AATCCAGATCCCTAGATTCAATCTTTATTGAAGTTACTCATATACTGTAACATTATGTTGAGTTGGATCTGAAACCAGATCTTGCTCCATTTCTTCCTAGTCATGAATAAATTTCTGACCGAATCTTTTGTTTATGCCTTTTCTGTAATTATGCTGCAGTTTCTTCATTAAGAAAGAATGAAAGAAAAAAATCACCAGTAAACACCAAGTCCCTTCCAAATTTAACTGTCTTTGTAGTAATTAGGAAATTACAAATCCCTGTGAGCACAGTCATGCAGATCTTCTTTTTCTCCATTTACCAACTCAATCAGTACCATTCTATACAAGAAGAACATGAACAAAAGGCAGCAATCAAAATCATTTGATTCAATGACCACCTGTTTCTTTTAATTAAAAATAATAATTTGGTGTGAATTCCAGGAGGGGAATGAAAAATCTGTCTGAAGATTAGAACTGTGGTCAAGTTGTTGTCCTCTTCCATACAAGCACAGAGAAGGAAATAGTTCATTTATAATTGTAAATATTAATTAATTATTTTTTTCCCTATTTGTTTACCTTCTTAAATCTCTTCAGATTAATAAAGAAGTGGCCATAGTAACTGTGCTGGGAGAAGAGATTTTTTAAATCCATCCTGAAAAGAGCCTTCCTTTTCCCCACTGCATCCTTGTCCCACTCCTGGCAGCCCCCCAGTACTGGCTTGTGACACCAGCTTTGCTTTTTTTTCTGTCCTATTAGGACATTTTATGCCACTGAGGTTCAGGAAGTATTTTTTTTGTGTAAGTGAAGTCATTTGGGATATTCTAAGCTTTCATTTATGCTTTATGAGCTTGTAAATGTATTTGTGTTTGGGGCTGAAAACCAATCTTGTGGTTCTGTCTTGGAGGTAGAAAAGGGAAAACTGGGTATGTTTGCATTTATTAACACAAAAGTGTTCTTTGTTGTTGTAGGCCCTGATACAACCTTAGGACCTTACAGGTCACCAGTTGCAGAACTCTTCATTTTTGTAGTGGAAACTAGAATTGTCCGTTTTTCCCAAAATATTTTTACACTCATATATTTTTCATTTTCTGCTTCTTAATGATCACAAAAATAACAGTTCAGATATGGGGGGGAATAAAGCCTTTCATAGGCAGTTTATAAAAAATTAAAATTAATCTTCTTTCTTGCCTAACTTCTTAATATGTGTGTGTTTCCATCCATTCTGGTCACTTGCACAGGCTCTGGCACAGACAGATCTGAGTGATGTGGATTTAAATTCCTTCCAAAAATCTCTCCAGATCTAGCTGCGTCATCTAGGAGATGCCAAATTAAAGACAATATGGATCTGGTTTGGTTATAGATACAGGGTTCTGGTGACTGTGATGGATGTCATCAAGTCACACACTGGACAAGCTTTTAGCAAGTAATAACGTGCTGCTCCTTTGGAGCAACTTCACACAAGGAGGGGTTTGTATATTTCATGTTTAAAGGCAAAGCAATAACTGGATGCTTGCAAAATTACAGAGTCAACACAGTGTTGCTATCAAGGGGAATAAAATTCGAATCAAAAGGGAGCTTTTAGAAAGAATTCAGAAGTACAAAGCTCATGAGCTGCTGTGTAAGGAGTGTGTGGGGTGGCCCAGGGCCGGCTGGTACTGCTCTCCCCCCTCTTGCACCCAGAAAAATGTGGAATGATTTCTCACAGGGGGGTGCTTTCCATTGCTGTTCAATAAGGGAAATGGATCCATTTGTGCTACACAAAGCAAGAAGGCAGTGCTGCTGCAAGAATTCAGAAGTACAAAGCTCATGAGCTGCTGTGTAAGGAGTGTGTGGGGTGGCCCAGGGCCGGCTGGTACTGCTCTCCCCCCTCTTGCACCCAGAAAAATGTGGAATGATTTCTCACAGGGGGGTGCTTTCCATTGCTGTTCAATAAGGGAAATGGATCCATTTGTGCTACACAAAGCAAGAAGGCAGTGCTGCTGCAGGGGTGCATCGCCCAGCTCAGTGGCAGGGCAACCTCGGGGGGTTTGGGGGAGATGCCTCCATGTTCTTCTGCTTCCCTCTGCTGGAGTGCTGCA